TGATAGCAAATTCCACGTGGTTTGTGATAACCGTGGAACAGGTGTGTATTTATGAACATGTCAGGTTAGAAAACCGCCAATGTATATCTTTTTCTTATCACCAGATAAAGAATAGGCACCCGAGGTTAGCGTTACATTTTGCCTGTGATAGCAAATTTCATTTGGTTTGTGGTAACTTTGGGATATCTTTATCAGAATGCACATGACAGTTTAGGAATCCACTAAAGTGCCGTTTTTCGTCAATAACAGTTAGAGATTAGGTTTTATCTATCCGAGGCTAGCGATACATTTTGCTTGTGATAGCAAATTCCATATGGTTTGGAATAGCCATAGATCAGATCAATAAAATGCACATGACAGGTTACGAGACAGCTGAAGTACTATTTTTCATTAACATCATATAGAAATTAGGTACATCTATGATAGACTAACGTTACATTTTATTTGTGATAGCAAATTCCACATGGCTGGTGATAACTATGGAACAGGACTGTACGTATGAACATCTCCGGTTAGGAAAACACCAACGTTCTAATGTTGAGTAATAACGGAAGTTAAATATCATTATGCCCGATTAACGTTACATTTTGCATAGGTACCACTCGAACAGTACGGTGCTCTGGATTGTGTTGTCTTAAAGGCCATCTGATCTGTTTCAATAGATGACGGATCACCGCGATGATGCGGCGACCTTAGTATAATTAATGTTCGCGAGTTGTTCCAAGACTGACATTTCGAGGGCAGATCTTGTTGATGACGATAGATCAATAAATTCTGTTCTATTCTAGCCACCTAAGGTGAACCCTGAGGTAACGGAACCCATAATAGAAATTGTCGCACGCAGGAATGCGTGCTTGGACTGTGTACAGCAACATGTGAGCTGTTTATTAACTGCAAGTGGCAATACTCTATCCTCTAGGTTCAAAAAAGGGAGAGGAGCGCATGCTGGCAGGTATTCACATTAAAGCAAAGAACTCAGGAGTACTCTGACAGAGGCTTCCAGTGATATCTTGCTCTGTATGTCTGACCAAGTAAGTCAATTCTAAATAGAAATCAGATAAACAGACCAGCAACTGAAGGCCAAGAGGCCAGACAACGTACTGAAAACATCAACCCATTATTGCAGATGAGGTGTGTAGATCAGCATGGACATTAACGCATATTCATCATCAATGGCAGAGCTTTAGGAGTGACGCTAAAGTCCTGAGTTGGACTCAAGTGGTCACTTGCCATTCAGATGGCGATTGGTTTAGCACTTTGCCATAGCTGAATCTCATTATGAATTACGTAGCTGCAGTGCTATCAGTAAAAAAGTTTAGCTAACTAAAAATCAGCACCTATCCAACTTTTTCTTGCCCCCAAGTCTGATGAGTCAACACGTTTGATTCCTTACCTCAAAACTGTTTGTTTATAGGGATATAACACTTAAGTCTAGGCTATTGAACTGGGATCAGACTTCTCCGTAGAGATACTTTCTTAACAAATCTGGATTTGGAATATGCAGGGATTTTGGTACATGTTAGGGAGAGTGATAGAATATATTTCAGATTCATATTCAAGGGACAGCTCTTCCAATACAATGCTGTACCGTTTAGGGTAAATTATACCCCTTATGTGTTCACAAAGTTAATAAAACCATTTCTGGAATACCTTAAAAAAAATGAGCACTTTCAGGCTCAGTATTAAATTGTGACATAAAGAAAGTAACTTTACTTGAGCGGACGATGCAGATATTACTAAACCTAGTAAGGGCAATAATGGACAGCAACCAAGACAGAGTCCGAAACTTTGCAGTGAACATCGGGATCTTGGTGTCAGCTTGTCTTTCATTTCGTTACAGCCGACTATGCACAACCGCGTGAAATTTCTTGCCTTGTAAAATTCTCAAGGAAACTTTAACGCTACTATGCCACTAATATAATATAACTTAAGGTCTACTTCGGCTTGGTCTCAAAGAAACTGGCAGATGCGGTCAGAGGTATTGAGTTATCCAATTTTTTGTTGCATAATTTCTCCCGCATGATAATCATCAAGAACAACTGGTAGTTTTCTTCTGTGGTGAATTCTTTGCTACCGAGTTGATGGGCTGTCGCATATTATACCCCATCCTACATCAATAGAATGGACAGCTTTTGGTTTCCACGTCTGGACCAGGTTGCGGGAAAACTAAGGCAATTGTGTAAAGAGAGAAATCTTACTGCCCACTCGTCAAATATAAGCTCTAGGAGTAATACTGGTACAGATGAGCTTTTGCGTCAGTGAGACGTGGAAACGGAGTGGGAGCTTCTCACCGTCCTGATTTTGGTTCAAGTATTCGGTGTTTCTGAAATTTCACTTTTAGAAGTAACACAAGGATCTGATGGAGGGACCCAGGACGCCGCTCCCACTAATTCGTAAGCTTACCCTGGTTATCGTCACTGGAAAGCTGTCATTACAATCAACATCGATAATCCATCATAGATTGTGGGCTTAGATTTCGGTAGGACCTATGTCGAGAAGAAATACATGTCTGGTTTCCTACCTTGAAATTTCTTACCTTATAGGTGATAAGAGATCAAGATATAATTGTGTGAGCTATCAGTCTTTTACCCAAAATGTAACTAACGATGCAGAAATAAGATGTTCTTTGAAGGGCATTAAGAAGTTGAGGCCATCTCAACTGAAATATAGATACTGTGGTTGTTCTCAACGAACCAAAGAGGTTGCTGGTAAGCTCTGTAGAAATTTGGATGAGGAAATCAGCAACACTGCTAACTCTAACCTCAGGTCAGAGTGTGCAAACTAATTGAAACAGACAACATCCGGATTGGATTGAATAATACTGAAATTGGGATTTCTGAGTTTTTAAAAGTCTCGGGGTCACTCATGTGGTAACCACTTAAGTTTTACCGTATGTTACGCCCAAATATGTGTGCAAAGCCTTTATTTATCACTGTTCAGTAACTTTATCATGGTGCCTCGGCTCCCAGATGGATGAAGTCGGTTTTAGCAGAGAGTGTCACTATTGACAACCCACAGTACATTAAATGCGTCTACCTTTCCGCCGGCTAAATTATAGTAGTCTCAGGCTCGCGGCGGGCTGGAGTGCGTTTTCTGAGATACGTCACAAATATCTTATGCCAAACAATAGCTTTGCTCAAGTGGCATTTGAGCTGAAGCAAGTCTCCACACCTTAAACATAACTATGTTATTACGTTATTTGCTCATTACATGAAATGGATGGTAATTTTTGAACCAGGTACGTCATATTACCTGTTGCTAAAAGCCTTAACTTGAATTGTTACAATGGAAATGTACATTTAGTTGACACATACATTGCGTACAATTTGTGTATCTGTGTAAAACCTATCGTTTAGTTATTACAGAGCGTTAGAAGTATGTTGTTGCAACTCGCCTTGAACATCTACACAACATGATGAAACGAACTTACCTGTAAGTGATGTTCGATCTTAATTATGTGAAGTTCTTGTCGAAGTAAATAGCTCCCTCCATTTCTATGTATCACCTAATTGTTGCAATAACTTGGCTTTGAAGTAAATGAAGGTTTATAGGCGGCCAGAGGGGAGAAAGGTAGAGGGAAGGGGCGCGGTGCCAGTTTCCTTCTCTGAGCGCGCACATTGAAATGTGGCCATTGGGTACTACTACGAGGGTACTACCAATATGTATTCTAAATATTTACTTCGACGAGGACTTCACATAATTAAGATCGAACATCACTTACAGGTAAGTTCGTTTGATCATGTAATTCTATAAACATAGCGTGCATCTTAGAAACATTTAATGCTGGATGAAGATATTCCTTGGTTGAACTTGATCGGCAGTAGTGGGAATCCATTTGCGGGAACCTTAGGATGTGTTTGTGAATTGTCTTTTCTCTCATAACTGCCACCTCTTTTTTGTCGAATTTAATTTTTCTAGGGAAGTTCTCAGTGCGCGTTCCGAGATACCTAACATTTGCAAAGATAGAGTTTTACATACCAAATACTGCTTGCCTTCGATTGCAAGCTAATATTTGCGACTCGTTTGCCTTCGAGACATTTCTTTTTTTGTAGTTTTTTGAGCTGTGACCGCTATCTTAACGTGACGTATGATAAATTCCCGCTGTCTTGTAAGGTACTCCATGTGCCTAAAATATGTAAATATTTCCATTCTTTGCTCTTCATTAAATAGTGAGCACTGCCGACTCTGCTTCTTACAAAGCTCACTATTACATCTTTGTTGAAGTACTTTGGCTGGTACTTAAACTTTAGTTTTAGGGCTAACATATTCTTTTCCAAGATCTCTCATTTTTTTGGTAATTTGTATTTATTTATTTTTAGTTTCTTAGTGATTGCTTCGTTTCTTTACTCTCCTTCTTCAACGAAATGTCCTGGCTCACGACGCGACGTAACATTGTGGCGTTAATTGATTTTTTTCAAAAATGATACGACGATGCCTTATCTTCTTGTCATTTTTTTAATGGCTTTCACAAGAATCAACATATTTTCGAAAATGTTCAGACACAAGAGCCTAAGGCAGATGTGGCAAGCGGCAAATACCTCTCTCTTACAACAGCGTGCCTCACAAGTTTGATTGTATGTCGGATCCTCACGATCAGAGATGTCCCCCAAAACATCGCTAAGGCTATTTATTAATATCTTCAATGTCCATATTTTCTTTATTATTAGGAAAATTGTCTGGTATGTCTTGGATGTAATCATTATGCACTTGTTGATTGGTTTTGGTACTGCATGAAATAAAAATTATTTTATTGTAGGAGAGAGAAACAGTCACGCCGACAGAGACACAATACGTACATTTTTAACCACAACACACTTCCTTGATGCGCCCTATACACTTTTTATTTTAAATGGTTTTGAAATATATTTGTACGCTAAGTTACAAGCTCAATATAATTTTGTAAGACAACAGAATTGCAGCTTTTACCCGTATTGTTAACAATATTATTTTATTATAAAGCATCAGACATCACGATTTCTAAAAATAAAATAACATCATACCTTTTTTGCAAGTTACTAGTCTGTACACCATGTTTTCTAGCCAGCATTCCCAAAGGTAATATCATCATCCGAACTATCACACTCCATGACATTTCAACTAAATATTCGTCATTTGTTTGTCTGGGCGATCCGTAGGATCTTTGACCATTAGTCACTGTCCAATGTACGTTAGTCGAATCTGTCAGTCCTGGTTGCGCAGGAACCAGACAATGTCAAGGAAATTTTGAGGTCAACTAAAACAAATTCTGATTCAGGTTTTGTTAAGAGTGTAATTTTGAGTTTACTAACAGTTCGCGCTAATTTTTGATCACAGTGCGAGCCGTGGCCTTGAATGTTTACGAACTTCCTCCATTGTGTAGTCCACTGAGTCACGCAACAGAGGGTTGCTATGCGATTCCGCTGTATGTTTCTGTCAGGCCATGCCTTTATCAAGGGAGACACCTAGATACTTGGCAGAATTTGTTCATGGTAAACGACTTCCGTCTACAGAAACCTCGGCTGGAGGGCCGCGACGTTTTTTGGTACAATAAATAGCCTGCGTTTTCGAATGATTAATTTTAATCAGCCACTCTAGTACCTACTTCGTCCATCGCACTCTCTGCAACCCATCGTGAACCAGAATACCAGTACACAACTGGGCGACAAGTGCAGTGTCGTCAGCGTAGAGATAGACTTCACAGTTGCTGGGGCAAGGGACATCATGGATAAAAAGCGGGTAAAAGATTGGTCCTAGGACCGAGCTCTGAGGAACACCGGCCAGTCCTGGCCATGTTGTTGACAACACACAGTTAATTTTGATCTGAAACTTCCTTCCATCAGGAACGGATTTCAGTAATTTTAGAAGCCAAGAAGAAAAACCCTTTTGGATTAATTTATAGAGGAGGTCCGCGTGCCACACCTTGTCGAAGGTTTTTGAGTCATCCAAAAGTAAGATGCCTGTACTCATGCTAACGGTGAATCCTCGGGTTACATGTTCCACCAGCCTGACTGCCTGTAGCTCGGTGCTATGCTCGACTGAAAAACCGAATTCAATGTCAAGAATGACATGGTGATTGGACGAAAAATTCTCACGGTGGGATAAATCACCTTCTCGGCGAGCTTAGAAGGAGCTGATAGTAGACTAATGGGACGTTAATCCCGAGGAAATATCGAACCCATCTTCTTTGGAATCATGATGACCTCAGCAGTCTTCCACCCAGCAGGCAAGTACTGGATTCTGAGCATCGAATTGATTATTGTCACCAAATATGTCAGAGCTTTCGGCGAGAGCAGCTTCAACGCTTTGTTGGTGATGAATCTTTTGAAGAAGAGTCATATGAAGAGGATTCAGTGCCTCCGCTAACGCCGTTGGCCCGAAAATATCTCCGGACGGATCGTACGATGTGTTGTTCCTCGTCGAGGTCATTATCAAGATCATAGTTTGGAGTTCTGAAGACTATGCCTTCAGGACCGTGGATGTGCGGGAGTTGTCACCGCGCTCTCCGTTTCTGAGTGACTTTGCGACCCTCCAGAGAGGAATACTTGAATCAAGCATTCCCAACAGAAAGTTCCATTGCTCGTTGCGGAATTCGTGCAGTGTGTTTCTCAGTTCATGGACAAGATTTGTAGCACTACGAATGACAACAGAATGCCAAGACCTTTTTGCCTGCTTAATAGCGGCTCTTTTGTCAGAGATTTTCTGACGAATCTCCGCAGGCAAAAAATATCTGCCATGTCATTGTACAGGAAGTACAGCTGCACGCTGTAGAGCTGTTAGAATGAAACTTGTCCACTCCGCTTGAGCGGCATCTATTCCAGACTCATTATCTATGATCGGGATATTGGGAAACTCTCTAAGGAACAACTTGTATAGCTCCCAATCAATACGTTTGCTTGGAAGAGCTTCCTCCTCAGAAGAGTTACTGAATCTACAGATTTTAGATATCGCGAAGTCAATGACAAGATGGTTGAATTGGTGTGTCGGTCCTTCAGTGCAATTTATAAGGTACCCATTTCGCATCACATGGTTGTACAATCGAATCCCACTAGTGGAATTCAACCTAGAATTCTATGCCCCTGCCACAATAAGCGGACCCGAGTAGTCCAAAAGGAACTCCAGATCCGGGCACCACACCTGATATACACCGATGTGATCTTCAACGAGATACCTCCCGCCATATTGACCACTACAGAAGCTGCTCCGATGCTATGCATCTCCGCATTCGTGCTTCTATATTAGTCTATACCGTGTTTAATCAACACTGCTAAGCCGCCACGTCGACCATTCAATCTGTCACCTCGAATAACATAATTCGGGAGAGCTAAACGGTCTCCCGAATTAAGCAACGTTTCCTGCAGCAAGACTACATCATCCATAAGAGCTTGGTGACATTCCCGTCTTCTGATGAATGCAGGCTGTCTACTATTGAACCTAGACATTTACAGGAAAGATCACCGGAGGAAAAGAAGCATCGGCCGACGGAGTCACCTGAGAGGTAGATATTTGTAATGTGGTCAATGTGCTAACCGATGTCAATAATTTGATATTAGAGGCATTAAAGATGTTTCAATTTGATGAAGTGGGGAAGGTGTGAAATGGAATTGATTCTGTATTCAGAAGAGGAGGAAAGTCTTGCGCTGGTCGATCGGTCTTGTAGCCTTTCCTTCTTCTTGATTTTGCTTTTATAAATCTGTCGGTCTGTTGCTCTTCGTCTATGGATGTGAAATGATCATCAGTAAAGTTTCTCAGTGGTCTTTTTACGGTGTTTATCCGTTCTTTTGGGGGATTCTTCTGAATTTACTAAAACTGTTACCTGTGCGGTCAGAATGTTAATTTTAGCTGTCTGGTTTTTGGTGGGCTCGATTAGGTCTCGGATCTGCATCGCCTGGTCGTCTATAATCAACATCAGTTTTTCGATGGTTTTCTGCTCCGATGACATCTGCGTCAGTGGGACCATCAATATGTGGAACTGATCCTCCTGGGTCAACATCCATCTTTTAACAACTTTTTGTTGCCAAGAAATCTCAGAAAACTTAAAGCTCGCAAATGTGACAATGTTGTCCTTACAGGGCGTTTTTTTGAGTAGCTTTGCTAAGGAAATATTTTCTTCAGAACTGTCACTTTCTTCAGCAGTTACTGTTTGGTCTTCCACAGCGATTACTTTCCCTATATACCACTTTTTTAGGATTTTATTAGATCTATAGAACAGTTGTCTTTCTCACGGAGCCACAAGAGAAACTATCCGGACACTCAACGAAACAAACATATTGATTGGTAAGTATAGGTTGCAGGTTATAACACGTTTAAAAGATAAATACGTCACAGTGCGTATAGTAATAAAATTAAAACTACAGTTTCACGAACTGGGGTAACTTAGATAAGCCACTGTTAAATGATATATATATATATGTATATATACAGGGTGGCCCATCCACGTGTGGACGGAATATTACTCATAAACAAATACATTTTGGAAAAATCTATTTGTGGGATGTTATTCATGCTATTTGAGGGCACATTTCTAAAATATTGGCCATTATACAGGGTGTCCCAATTTCGACCTATATATCAAAGTTGTGACTTTTCAAATGGAATGTCTCAAATTTTATTGCATCTTTGGACAAATCAAGTCAAAAGAATAAAATTGATATAACATACCATGGGGTTTTGGTAATTAGCTAGTGAGAAAAACCCCCCACTTCGGCAACCCCTCAGTCCACTATTTTGAAATTTGGAGTGCTGAATTTTGTATCAAAAAAAAAACTTATACACCTCAGCTTTTATCTTATTTGTTACCTTTTCGAATTTTGGTTTTTGCTCATACAGGGTGGTCAAAAAAGCAGTGTAGTTTTTCTCAAAAATTTCAAATGCATCACTCTGTATATTGGTGCAAGTTTGGATTCAATTTTTTATAAGCTTTTTTTTTGATACTAGTCACATAAGGGTGTTTACGGCTATTTTTTTTTTGTTATTGTCTTTTAGGAACGGCTTAGTTCCCTAAAATATCGCATCATCCTTGGAAACAAATAAATTGTTGGTTAGTTACAAACTGTCAAAATTAGCTTTATGAGCATTATAATAAAAAACTGTTTGAAAATGAATTTTTTTAAAGAAGAAATGGTGAATATGGTGTTCGTTTTGAGCGAAGCCCAAAGAAATAGTTTCCTAGCATCTCGCATTTATAAACAACGGTACCCTAACATAATATGCGACATCCATGCCGGAAACATTTTCTATCCTACGAGAACGTTTTGAATCGAGTGGAGCAGTGGAATATAGTAAAAAATGTATAAACAATCCAAGTGTCACCAATGAGGCGAATCAGTTGGAGGTTCTATTAAAGTTGCAGGAAAATCCCCATTTAAGTGCACGGCAAATTGGAGCAGAAACTGATATATGCAGGACTTCTGTCCATCAAGGCCTGCGTCCTCAGGATTTCGCAGCTCGAATAGAGTCTAGTAGAATAATGCTAAATAAAGTGAGTGATGACACTACTTTCCTGGATAAGGTTCTTTTTAGCGATGAGGCAACTTTTAACAGCATAGGTGTTGTCAACAGGCATAACAATAACATGCACTATTATGCGACGGAAAACCCTTACTGGGTTAGGCAAATAGATTTCCAAAATAAATGGAGCTTGAATGTTTGGGGAGGAGTTATTGGCAGTCAAGTTATCGGGCCTTTCTTTTTCGACAACAGATTAACAGGTACAGAATACTTGAATTTTTTGATCGAGCATTTGCCTTTGTTTTTGGAGGATGTCAACCTGCAAACTCGGATGCATCTGAACTTCCAACAACGTCGGCATGTATTCTAACATCAACTCTAAAGTTATGCCAATTCAAAAGGGTGTGCCACAGGGTACTATACTGGGACCCATTCTCTTCCTCTTACATGTCAATCAGGTCATGGATGTTTTTCCCACCATTAAATATACATCTTATGTGGATGACATATCTTTGCTTATTTGAGTCCTCCGAGAAAAATGCATAGAAACTGATTAACCTTTTGAACTCATGTGACCTTCTTAACACCGAGAAAGCAGAAGTATTCAGAGTCCACAATTACCAGCGCAATTTAGATCAATTTAGTATAAATGTCAATTATTCAGTATTAGAGAGCCGAAAAGAGACAAAAGTGTTTATTGATGAGTGTTTGAGTTGCACGAGCCACTGTAAGCAGCTATTTAAATCATTATGCTCTTATATGTATGTTTCTTAGAAATTTGAGAATTGTTTTAAGCTGTCCTGATTTATTGAATATCTATTATGCGCTAATTGAGTCTAGACTTCGTTATGGCATTTGCTTGTGGGGTAGCTCGTCCCATTCAAATAAAGTGTTTGTATCTCAAAAAAAGGTCATAAATAGTTTAGCAAATGCATGTAACCACCGTAGCGACCTGTTCAAAATCTTTGGAGAACTGACATTCACTTCCTTGTATATACTATAATTAACCACTTACATATTTTCAAATAGACACAGTCTTTTTATAAACAGTGATATTCACACCCACAATACAAGAATAAGAAGCTAATTATGTTTACCTATGTTTAACTATAAATGTAGCCACCAATTTACTTGGGATTAAAAATATTCAATAAATCTACCAGATAATGTAAGGTCAGAAACAAACGTGAGGTCCTTCAACCGAAAGGTTTGTGATCGATCAGTGTTTTTATAGGGTTGAAGAGTTTTTCTCTTGTAGGCATTTTTAATGTATTAACTGTGGAAAATTAATTTTTATTGCTTTATTCCGTTTTACTGTTACTTTGTCCCTAATTTTAAATTTTATTGACAATTCCCATATGTTTTTTGTCACATCATCAGGAAAATAAAGAATTTGAATTTAAATTTGAAGGCGTAGGATTAGTCAATTTACTTGACGCCATTGCTTTCTTGATATACACGTGTGTGATCATGTCATAGCATACGAATAATCACTTCCTATTTGCTGATACTGACTGCTTTTCTTGCACTACGATAAATTGTTTGTCGAGTAAGCCATAATACTACAAACAACAGACAGCCGTTACAATCCCACTATCCACACAGACCGCTAAGCCAGATTGGCCTCACATAATAACTTACTAACAGGTCCAGTAAAAGCTCGTAAAAAAGGTACCTCATAAATGCCCACCTCTGGTAGTCGCACAAACCTGTACCCTCTTGATCAGGATTCCGATCACATTATGGTTGGCTTCGGTAGGAATATTTTGAATTACTTCCCAAGTATTGCTTTTCATCTACGCTTAGTGAGAATACTCGAAATACGCCTTTTGGAGGAAAAATATGTTCCGATGAGATGAAACTTTTCCCAGACCAAGCTGATGAACCTCTTGACATTCAACAAATCCTTCATGACTGTTAGGCATAAGAAAAATATTGACTCAAACTCGAAAAAATATCGGCCTTATGGGCGATTCTGAATCCCAATCGATTCCTTGTTTATTCAAAGGTCGATTCCTTGGAGCCCGCTTTGCGCCACTCGCCCTCGCAGGGTGCGTGCGTGGGTCGGTCACGTGTCATCGGCGACAAAACATTCAATACCGGTATTTGCGGCACGTGATACGGCTATTTACAAATTGCCGCCGTCGTGCTGTCAGCAGCGCCCTTCTACCCTTCCGCCCGTCGATGCCGCTGTCGGATTACGATTGCGCCCTTGGGCACCAAGGCTGATGTTGCCGACGTAGCGGGGGGTCCAGATCATCTCTTCATGCCGCGATACGGTAACACTTTACCATACAGGCCATACATTATGGGCTAGCTCCGCCAGGTATCTTTGATTTAGGGCCGAATCGTCAGTCGTTCCTACAATTATAGGACGTCTTAATGGCCTCCTTGATTTTCATAGTTTTCTACTGTTGCGAGTTAGTGGTCTATTTTGAGGTAATGTTACAAATATCTATTTACATCAAATTGTTCATGTTCTTGATTTATATCATCTGTTATTTTAGCCTGAAATTTCCTAGAATGCAAAAAGAAAATATAGCCTCTCAATAGGAGAGCGCTGACGCTGAACGAAACAGAAATCTAGAAATACCCCAGCTTTTCTGAAGGAGAGAACAGAGTATGAGTATCAAGGAGGCCATAAAGGCGTCCTACAGTTGTAGGGACGACTGACCATATATGGTTCAGTGTTGTCGAACACTCAAAGTCAGTACCACTGGGCATCTCTTGGATGCCGGTAGTTGGTAAGTGGACCGTCTAGAGTAAAGTCCAGATTTAAGTATCTTTGACGCTCATCAATAGTTTGTTCAGGCCTATCGATGAGCTCTTACGCCTTTTTTGAGTGGGAGGATCATACAGCTTGTTACATTACTTAATCAAGTATGACATTGGAAAAGGAAAAAATAGCCTCCAGAGCAAGGAAGTCCCTCTAAGACATAGTTACTTTTACCAGAAGGAAGAAATCAGAAGGGTTAGTACCTCTATACCTTCTGGAAAAACAGATACAACTGTCTTGGTAAGTCAAATACCTGGGCGTAATACTAGACTCCAAACTAACCTGGAACCCAGATGAAACGCTCTCATGGCAAAACATGGGGATTAGGCCCTTCCGTGATGCAATGTATGTACATAATATTGGTAATGCCCATGATGACTTATCTCTAGTTCTTCATGACGGTGTTCCGAAGAATGACAGTACCGCGCCCGGTTGCCGCGTCAAAAGTGTGCGCGCCAATATAAGTTTTATGAACTAGAAATTTTGGCGCGGTTTTTCCCACTAGCAATTCGCGGTTTTAAAATCAGTCGCGCGAAAAAACCGTCAGTGTGGCCGCTTCTGTTAGTTTACTCACAAAATCAGGCGGTTCAAATCCGCGGCGGTTTAGCCGTAGTACGGTCTAAGGGTAAAGACAAACAGAGCTGTTTTGACCGACGCGTTTATCGAATCGGCCGCGTTCTAGTAATCCACACTGAGCTGTTTCTTCAGCGGTTTATGCAGTGATCCATTCGATTTGCAGAATGGATGACGTATTGTATTTATGGCTACTGTATTTGTATTGGAAAATTAGTAAAAAGAAAAAAGGAATAGAAGAATGTGGATACATCCAATCATCGAAGAAAGGCAACGAAAAGGTCATTTTCATACATTGTTTGCTGAAGTACAAAGAGATGAAGAAAAGTTTTTCAACTTTACAAAGATGTCACGAAGTACTTTTTACGAGTTATTAGCAGTTTGTGGAGAAAAACTAGTAAAGAAAGATACACGTATGAGAAATGCGATAACACCAGAAGAAAAACTAGTAATAACTATCCGGTAAGCAAATAAATTAGGTAACTGTTTCTCATTTTATTAAAAATTTATTCCACAATCTTTCATACATTATAAGAGTATATTTATTCAATTCATATTAAATATACTAAACTGAGAATCGTCGTCCGAAAAGTGGGAATAATAGCTTCTAACTGATTCAGCTGGTGAAGGAGCTGGAGGTAGTGTGGAGTTTATCTGTTGTTTGGCGGCATTCTGAGATATGTACTCCATACTGCTCTTGTGGATGTTGTACAAGTCCTGATTGACTGGGATAATGGGTTATGGAATACGTTTGCTGATGTGGTGGTGTATCTGATGTCTGATTTGCTTCGGTCCTGGTTGCATATTTCGAAATAGTCTGCATTATTTCAATCCTGCATTTTGTATTTAAATGTCTTGGCAGTGCAATAAGTGAAAGTACTAAGGAAAGTGCAAAATGGTAATTGTCATCTTCAGTCATCGTCTTGTTTGCTCTTTTTTCGTAATTTTCAAGTGAATGTAATATTTTTTCTTCGACCGGGTATATCCTTTTTTGCCAATTTTAGAATTATACTTTTCTTTATAGATTAAAGTGGGCGTTTCAGGGTTATTTGTATCTAATTCGGATGAATATTCATTATCCAATGAACTGGTGGTTTGTCTGGGCAGTATTACATCTGTGAGAAATTGAAATTGTAACCTCTGTGTATAAACGTAAGGAGCTTTCCGATAAGCTCCAGCCCCTGAATTTCCTTTCCTTTGATGAATATCTCTTGAAAAGTTGTCTCGGATATTTTTCCACTTTTTATGCAATTCATTACCTGTAACAAAATAGAATTACGTACATTACGTTTTAATTAACTGCATTTTTTCATTTTAGATATTTGGCTACGGGCTGCTGTTTGGCCGAATTACATTATAATTTTCGTATTGGTAGATCTACTGCTAGTAACATTATCCAAGAAGTATGCGAAGCAATATGGATTGAATTAGCAGACAAAGTTATTCCGCAATGTTCAACAGAGAAATGGATAGAAATAAAAAATAAAGGGTTTCAAACATGTGCACAGTTTCCCAACTGTATAAGAGCAATAGACGGGAAACATATTCGGACTAAGCAGCCACCCAATAGTGGGTCTATGTACTACAATTATAAACAGTACCATTCTACGGTACTGTTTGCGATGTGCGATGCCAATTATTGCTTCACGTATATTGAAGTGGGATCATATGGTAAATCAAGTGATGCTGGCATATTTACAAATTCTAAACCTTATGAACGATTAGTTGATGGTACATTGGGAGTCCCTGCACCATGTGCTATTGACGAGACGAATGAAAAATGTCCTTTCATAATAGTTGGCGATGAGGCATTCCCCTTATCCGAAAATTTGCTTAGGCCTTTTGGAGGTAAACAACTGACACCTTTAAAGGCGCGTACACATCTGGCGAACGCATGTGGCCGAAGCTCTTCGATCGAATTCATTCGATGATTTCGACGTTCGATGGAAAATTTGCTCTGCCGTCCACATTACGGTGAACGAATTCGTTTGCAGTCATTCGTCGAGGTTCGCGGGTATTTTTGTAAATGGTAAAAAATGGCGTCCGATGATGAGGATATAATTATTGCAAGTGCGTTGTATATTATTATTAGTGAGGCGGAGACCGAAGCATTGAAAGAGCCCCCCAAGAAACGACGAAAACGGCGCTGGTGGACAACATCATTGTTCAAAAGCAGAAGTCGGTATAGAGGGATGGACTTAATTAGTGATCTAAAAGCTGAAATGGAATACGGACTTTTTGTAAATTTTTGTAGAATGAAGTCTACTGATTTTGAATGGTTATTAAATGAAATCGGTCCAAAAATCGCGAAACAAGATACAAAGTTTAGTGTCTTTTGGTATAAACTTGTCCATCAAGAAAAGCATTTCTTTGAAAGCGAACCAGCTAGATTTAAAAATTGTGTCGATTCCTGAGCCAGTTTTAAACGAGCTATCTTGTTTTTGTCTCTCACGTCGGAATGATGTTAATAAAGATTCCATTTTCTTTTTGACCTCCCCTGTATCGCCTTTCATAATTTTGCTGATGTCGTTCCAGGCATCCATTTTCTTTATTTTATTTTTGTAATCTTTATGCACTGGTTTCCATAAAACTTCCAGTTCTCGATATAAACCAATAAGTTTTAAACAAGAGGAATTAGTCCACTCCATTATCGCTATATAGAAACTCAAAACAAAATGACCACGATGAGACACTTAAAAACTAAAAAGCGTACACACTAAACACAGCCAAACGAATTCGTTCTTCAATTTTCTTTTGATGTACCGCCCAGTGACCGAACTCTCGCGAAGGCAAACACATGCGTTTGTTAGGTCGTACACATTTACCGACGGCGTTCGGTCGAAAGGCTTCGGCCACATGCGTTCGCCAGATGTGTACGCGACTTAAAAGAAACTTTCAATGCTAGATTAACCCGAGCCAGAAGATATATCGAATGCTGTTTTGGTATTCTAGCCACCAAATGGCGTATATTTCATCGACCTATTGACCTCGATATTGATGTAACTGAAACTGTAGTTAAAGCTGCTTGTGTGTTACATAATTTTATAAGGACAAGGGATGGCACTCGGTCGAATGACGAGAAGTTAGATGAAAATATGAATCTTGAAGGTCTAGCACCAGATACAACCCACAGAGGAAATCCATTAGCATTATCTGCTAGAGATAAATACGCTCAATATTTTGTAAAACAAAAAACCGTTTAAATAATAAAGATAGCCAATAAAAAATGTTGTTAATTTGTTCTTATTATAAACAACTGCTTCTTTTCATCAATTGTGCTGTTTTCTTTTGCAAACAAATTTACTAGTTCCTCCCAAAATTTTCTTCTCATAACCCTATCGCTGTATTCCTTTTTCCTCATATTCCAAAGTGGCGGTCGGTTCTCTACTTCGCTAATTAGCTTTTCAATATCAATTTTGTGTGCTTCCATTTCTATACAAAACGCGCCACTTGAATTAAACCGACTCGATTCCTCAGATCAACTACAAACCGAAGCTGTTTTAAAACCGCCGCATGAAACGAAACGCGTCGTACCGCTGTGTGTATTTTGTACTACGAATGATATATTATACAGCATACGACTCGGGCACCAATTCGATAAACGCGTCGGTCAAAACAGCTCTGTTTGTCTTTACCCTAAGCCTAAGGCCAATACAATTGTAGGACGCATTTATGGCCTCCTTGATTTTCATTGTTTTTTCCTGTCCGTCAGGAAGGCGTTCTATTTTGAGGTTATGTACAAGTATCTATTTGCATCAAATTGTTCATGCTTTTGATTTTTATCTTTTTATCATCTGTTTTATCAGCCTGAAATTTCCTACAATTTAAAAAAAGCATATTTATCTACAGTGTATATAACGCTGTATAATAATTTCATGCTCTACTCTTTTGAAATGCAATGTCATGGCAATAACCATATCTTCCTCATCCTCCAATTTTGTGCTCCTTAAAATTCTAGCGAAGATTGTTCTTTTGGAACAAAATTAATGTAACATGACAATTTAAAAGCCTTAATCAGTATTATATTCTTCAGATAGGCGCCGTCTAGTCGTTCTGGAGTGGAATATTGTTTCCAGATAATATTTCTTGCATTGTATGTGAGGAAGAATGATTTAGGCATATTTTGCATTATACATAGCGGCTCATTTTCAAATTGCATACTGAAGGTGATGGATAACCAACCTGAAACAAATTTAGATAAACACACCAGAAGAGGTCAATGAGACGTACAGCTGTCGTGTGACCTTTCTGAGGTGTTTTACATCCCATAGTGGCAACGCGAGAGTTCGCCAATTGTCAGCTGCAATACAGTTTTGGTTCAATAAAGCCTACTGATTCTTATCATGTCGGACCACAGCACTTTGTACACGGGTATTCAGGATGTCAAAGTCAAACCGAGCTGTGAAGTTCGGGAAAAGGAGACTGGTATCGATATAATTGTTCCTCTTTAAGATAAGTCGCGAAGATTGTCACTGATATGTTTTTTGGCGCTACAATTTTACGGCTTTAAGGTCATAGTACTGTATTTTAGCCAACAAAAGATGTCGTCTATAGTGTATTTACACCCAAGATAGAATGGATGCGTGATTGCCAAAAGCAAGCACAGCGTACAGGGCCGCATTCAGGGCTACGCTAAGCAAGGTGAATACGAAAACACGAGCACGTAGTGATACACCCGACGGTCGGTGGCCTGAATGCAACTCTGCCTGCCCTGCCCCTGCCCCGCGCATTATTCCGCCAGGCGACCGCTTGAAATTTAAAAGAGAAAGAGGCGTTGTCCCCACCTGTTACCGAGAGATCACGCGCTAACTGTTATTATTTACATCTCATCTTGAATTTGGATTCAGTTTAGAATATGTTTCCTCGATCGACGGAGCTGGGAAAAAACCTGAGATATCCGTATACGTTTTTTCATCTTGAAATAAATGTCTTTCCCACACAGTACAAGTCTCAGGTGAGGCTAGCCGTGCAGTATCTAGAATGTTTTTGCTCTGACTACATGGTCCGTGCTCAACGCTGGACAGCCCTTGTCTGAATTGCGTTGAGTATGGACTGTGTAGTTAGAGTGGATACATCCCAGATATTACACGGTGACTTGTACATAATTGGAAAGATATTTAAATATTTCAAGATAAAAAGTCATATACGGATATCTCAGGTTTTTCCCAATTATTGCCTCGATTGAGGAGTCGTGTTCGTGTAGTTATATTCTCGACTACGCCTCTTGTTAGCTAAAGTACAGTACTGTGTCGTAAAACTGTGGCGTTAACAGCTATATCAATGATAACATTCGCGTCTCACATTCTGAATACCCGCACGCAAAGTGCTGTCGTCCGTGAGGATGTGGATTAACACCTTTATCGAACAGAAATACTATTGGAGTCGAACATCGGTGAACTTCGCCTTGCCACTATGGGATGGATGCAAACCACCTCAGAAAGACAGCAGTATATCAGATTGTCCTCTCCTGGTTGCGCTTATCTAAACGTTATGTTACAAGATGGTTATTTATCACCTTCATTAGGCAATTTGAAAATAAACTACTCTGTAATTATACTGTAATTATACATACATTAGCAAAATTTGCCTAAATCATGCTTCCACATATGCAATGAAGAAAACATTCGACCCGAGAACGACCAGAAGGCGTCTACTGATTAAAATCTGTGAATTTATTGTGATACATTCATTCTGCTTCAAAAGAACAATACTCGCTTGATTTTTCATGAACTCAATATTAGAAGATGAGGGAGATATGGTTATGCCCTGAAACTGTATTTCAAAGTGGTAGAGCGTGAAATTATTATGCGGCGTGCTCTTAAACCAAAAGTGTTCATTTTCTTCTTCATTGTAGATAAACGGAAGCAATGACGATATAAAAAAAATGGGAACCTAGAACAGAAAGGCAATAGATTTCTCTACAAATTCATAAAAAACTTTTTTACTTCGTACGGAAATTAACAAAGTTATGAAAGGAAGAAGCAGGATTTGTGTTAAAATCTTCATTTGCCTCTAAAACTTCAACCTCTGTATGCAGGTTGTTCATTTGAAAACTTCCCATCCCGGATTTATCGAAAAAATTAATTCCAAAACATTGAGCTCTATCTAAAATTAGCCAAAAATGTATATGTAACTTCCTGTAGCATAAACTGTTGGAGATATACATATACTGGGTGTTTCAAATTCGACCCTCACCATTGGGATCTCGGAAACTGTAAGAGAGTCAATTAAATGAGGGCAAAATTGCGTATTTAAGTAA